GATCGACAGGTTCAAAAGTTGAGGTCAAAGAACATAGCTTCAGTGAAGGTGCAGTGGAGAGGCCATCCAGTCGAGGAGGATACTTGGGAGACCGAGCGGGAGATGCAGAGAAGATATCCACACCTATTTGAGACTCCGGGTATGTTTGACGAATGTTTGTTTAAGAGGGGGATAATATAACGACCCGGCCAGTCATTTTGAGTGTTGTAGCCCCGCTCACCCATTTACTGCTTATTTTACGCTCAATTGTCATTATTTGACTTGTCGGGGTAGTTGGTTCGGTTCCGGAGATGTTACGGAATGAGTTGAGACACTTAGTCTCAATGTTGGAAGCTTAAGTTGACAAGGTTGACCGGGTGTTGACTTATGTGTAAATGGCTTAAAAATAGAGTTTTGATTGTTCTGATAGCTCTGTTGGGTGATTTAGGACTTAGGAGTATGTCCGAATAATAATTTGGAGGTCCGTAGTTGATTTAGGCTTGAAATGGCAAAAGTTGGAAAATTAAAAGTTTTGGAAATTGAAAAGTTTGACCGAGAGTTGACTTTGTGATTACTGGGATCAAAATTTGGTTCTGGAAATTGGAATAGGTCGGTTATGTCATTTATGACTTGTGTTCAAAATTTGAGGTCAATTGGACTTGATTTGATAGGTTTCGGCATCGAATGTAGAAGTTAGGAGTTCATAAGTTCATTAGGCTTAAATTGGGGTGCGATTCGAATTTTTGATATTGTTTGATGTGATTTGAGGCCTCGACTATGTTCGTATGATGTTTTAGGACTTGTTGGTATGTTTGGTTAGGGTACCGGAGGCCTCGGGTGGATTTCGTACGGTTAACGGAGTGAAATTTGACTTGGAAGATTGTTGAAGTCTTTCTAGTGTGCATGTCTGGTTTCCTTCTATGTGATCGCGTGGATAGGTCCGCGTTCGCGAAGGCTTGTTTGGGCAGCTGGGATTTTTACTTTACGCATTCGCGAGTTGAGGGCTGCGATCGCGTAGGTTAGTGAAGCAGTGAATCGCGAATGCGTGGGCTAGGCCGCGTTCGCGAAAAGGAAATGAGGTAGGAGCTGAGTACACATGTTTTGTTCTTCGCGATCATGTGAAGAGGGACGCAATCGCGTAGGTCTGAGTAGGCAGTGCTTCGCGTTCATGTGGATATTGTCGCGTTCGCATAGGTTTAATTTTTGGGCAGCTTAGTTTGTGCTTCGCGATCGCGAGGAATTTTTCGCGATCGCGATTAAGGACTTCTGGGCAGAATATTAAATCTCAAAAACGAGGGTTTGAGTTTATTTCACAATTTGATTTTGGGATCTCGGTTTGAGGCGACTCTTGGAGAGATTTTCAAGGGAGTGATTGGGGTAAGTGATTCTTACTTGGTTTTGGTTAAATTACATGAATAGATCTTAGATTTCATCATTTAATTAGTGATTTGGGTAGAAAAATTTGGAAAAACGGAGAAAACTTCTTAGGCCGAATTTTGGGAATTTGAGCGGGATTTTGGTAACGGATTTGAGTGATTTTGGTATAGTTGGACTCGTGGTTGAATGGGTGTTCGAATTTTGTAACTTTCATCGAATATCGAGATGTGGGCCCGGGGTTGACTTTTTGACTTTTGATTAAGAACTTAGCATTTTCATATGGAATTGATTCATATAGCTTGAGTTGATTGTATCGAATTGTTTTTGGCTAGATTTGAGGCATTCGGAGGCCAATTCACGAGGCAAGGGCTTGTTGGAGTAGAGATTTGCATGGTTTGAGGTAAGTAACATTTCTAAACTTGGTTCTGAGGGTATGAATCCCCGAAATTACGTGTTATGTGATTGGTGTTGAGGTGACGCGTATGCTAGGTGACGGAACCATAGTAATTGTTATTAAGTCGATTCCATAGAACTGTGTAGCTATCTCATCTGAATATCATTACTGTACTCCATGTGTTAGAGCACTTGAGCTGTGATTTATGCTAGAAATCATGTTTAGGCTATGTGCTGGTACTATAGGGACCCACAATGGTCATTCTTTGCTGTTGAGTTATTTGCTTAAGTGCAGTTATGTACTCAGTCACATTCATCATTGCATATCATATCTCAGTCTCTGTTATCATACATTGTCATATCACGTATCATTGATTTGGGTTGTTTAGCATGAGTGTTGTGAGCCCGAGAGACTGGAGAGATTGATAACTGAGTGAGGCCGAGGGCCTATTTGTGAGTGATATTTATGGGATCGGGTTGCACGTCACAGCAGGATTTATTGATTCAAGCCATGATTGGCTTATTATAGTGCTTGGGCTAGATCTGCCCCTCCATAGTCTGAACACCCACACTGAGTGCAGTTGCTATTGATTCATGATATTTGATTCAGGTTGGATCTGCCCTGAGCTAGATCTGCCCTGTACAGTGCTGAGTAATTGAGTGTGATGAGTGAGAATTAAAACAGGCGGGTTAAGTACTCCGAGAGTGTGAGTACGCGAGGCTTTCATTGTGTTGCATCACATACGATATGCATATTTGCATGTGATCTAGAGATGTCATATTCCTCATATCATTCAGACTTGACATATATGTTCTGTAAATTTTCATACTGTTTAATTATGTATTTGGACCGTATTTTTCGGACTCATCACTGCTTCCAGTCCAAAGTTTAGACTTGTTACTTATTTAGTTGGTTGTACTCACGCTACACCCTGCACTTCGTGTGCAAATCCAGGTGTTTTCGGGCACGGTGGTTGTTGATCTCAGAGTTTTTAGCTGTTCGGAGATTATCGAGGTAGCTGCCTTGACGTTTACAGACCTTGACTCTCCTCCCCTATCCCTTAGTTTTACTTATCCAGTTCTACTTTCTTAGATAGTGTATCAGACTATGTATTTGTATAGATTCTCATGTACTCAGTGACACCCGGGTTTTGGAAAATTCTGTATTGAGCTATAACGTTTTCATTCAGTTTTATGAGACTTTTACTTGCTTAAGCTTATTTTTGTATATTTTAAATTTCAAGATGTCGGTATGTGTGAGTTGTCGTCTTGCCTAGAATCATGATAGGCGCCATCACGGTACTTGGGATTTTAGGTCGTGACATAACCGTTCTTAGGGTTCTACCTAGATCTTCATCCTACCTTCAAACCTTTATACCTTTTCTTTCAAACCTTCATATCTTTCCTTCAAACCTGCATATTTTCCCTTCAAATCTTCTTATTCTACAGATCACGATGGCCAAGAATTCCAAATCAGCTCCTCAGTAGGCTGCCACTTCATCTTCCCATCCGGCCACAGGTACTGAGGCAACCATTTCTGAGGTGGTTATTCTCGAGATGGCTGCTCCCGAGGTGGTTGCTCCCGAAGTGACTGCTACCGAAGTGGCCCCAAAGCCCCCCATGAAGAGCTTTATTCCCATGGGTTGTTCAATCATAGACGACTTTAAAGTCGAGAAGGCCTCATCCAAATAAGACCGAGGTGAGGGGGCATCGAGATATATATGCTCTATTACCGAAGATACCCTTCCCACAGTCCGAAAGGACTGTAAATGGGGAGGTAAGGACGTGGTAGTCCCTGAGCCTCAGGACGATATTACCATTCATGTGGAGGGGTATTTAAGTTTTTATACTTATCCCTTCACACTGGGCCCGATAGACCCAGTAGTTTTTGCCTTCTGCAAGAGATACGAGGTGTGACTTGGGAAAATCCACCAGTCTCTTTGTAGGATCATGATCCTCCCATGTTATTTTGTTGAACAACATCAAGTCTCCTCGGTTCACCCTCGACCACCTACTCCGTCTATGCAGTCCCCGAATTTTCTGAGAGGGACAAATCTAGCCCACTCGCCGAGGCCAGCAAGGCCCCATTTTCGAGCATCGATGAAGATCGAGACCGAGGCTGGCAGGGGCGCTTCGTTCGGGTAAAGACTGAAGATTTAATCCCTCCTGAGTTCCTGCCATTTCCCGAGAAGTAGAATGCATATCGTAAGTGTAGTCTTTCCTTAAGTGTCGAGTCTCCTTTGTTCCCTTTCTCACCATCAGTATTTGTGATCGTGCAGCTGTTGCTCGGGTTCCCAATGCGGTCGCTCGGCACAAGGAGTGGATCGAAGGCATCTTCAAGAAGATGTCGTACTTTGAGCGCTTGTGGAACAAGCTTTTGAAGGGCCGATAGGAGGCCCGTTCTCATGGTAAGGCTCTTGTCAGAATAGTTACTATTACGCCTTGAACTTACATAACGCTGACCTTTTCTCTATCTTTCGTAGGTTCTTCTAAGACCACCGAACTTAGGCCGCTGGAAGGGGAGGAGGATGTACCCCTATACATTGATCCCTCCGTTAAAGGACAACCCGGGGCTGCCTCGGCGGAGAAGAAGAAGAGGAAAAGAAAGTCTTTGAGCTCCCCGGGTCCTGAGGTGAAGCCAAAAGAGAGGGCGACATCCCGGGCTCGTAAGCCCAAGAAGAGCACCAACTCCAGGGTACCGGATTCTGACTCACTTTGCCGGCTCAGGGATGAGTCTGAAGAAGATGACATTTTTGTCGCTCACGAATCGACCATTGCCAGGGAGCAGGCGGCAGCCGAGGGAGAGAGCGGTGAGGTCGACCTCCCTCCGACTCAAGAGGCCGAGACGGAGACGAGGGCTGAGACCTCCCGAGAAGCCGCTTCTGCTCTGAAGGAGGTGACCGATGTAATAGACATCATGGAGACGCCCTCCTACACCGAGTCCATGCTTGAGGAGGCCCAAGCAGGAAAAGAAAAGTCAAGTGAAGGAGTTCACGGCCCGGACGACCCTCTTCACTCCTTCTTCGATGGCGTGGATATGTCCATTTTGGAAGATTTTTCTGGGCTGGGGGACGTGGAGATCCCGAAGAAGGATGTGCCTTTGGAAACTGGCAGGCCGAGTTCGAGCCCAAAATTTGTGAAGCAGTTCCTGCTCCGAGTGTAGACCCCGGCCGTAAGAGAATAGTCATTCTTACTGTCCCGACAGATGCTCGAATTTTATCTGCTCCAATGGGCATAACCAGCTATCTCTGATGCCTGGTGATCAAAGAGGATTAGACGAAGATGAACGAGGTGGGGGCGTCGTGTCACTTCAATAAGGTGCAGCAGGCGCTGAACCGGGTAAGGCATCAATACTCATTTGTTAATTCCACTTAGGTTTCAATACCTCTTATTATTTTTGTTACTTTGCAGGCCTCGATGCTTCACCACGAGATCTTCCTCCGGTACCGCTCCAAAATCACCCATCTCGATTTGGAGCTCAAGGAGCAGGTTCGGAAGAAGGACATGTAAAGGCTTCTTAGTGAACAACAAGATAGGGCCGTCAAGGATCTTCAGGCCGAGCTGGACAGGGCTCAAAAGGAAGCTTCTACCTTGAAGCGGGAACATGATGATCTGGTCGAAAAAGTAAAGGTCTTTGAAGTTAGAAATGAGGAGCTAGTCATGGTGGCTAACAACACAACCTCGCAGGTCCAACAAAAGATTGACCTGATCGACCAACTCCGAGCCGAGATGAACGAGGTCCAAGCCATGGCTGACGGGTGGAAAAGCAAAATGGACGTGATGGATTCGGAGAAGGAAACCGCCAAAGCGAAGCTGGCATCAGTAGAGGTCCAACTCCAGATGGCAAAGGAGAAAGCTGACAAGTGGTCTCAACCAAATGACAATCTCCGAGCACAGCTGAGCTCGGCTGTCACAGATCGGGACGCCCTCAGTAGAGAATACGAGGCAGTGGAGTCCAAATTGGATACGACCTCCGTCGATGCTGAAGAAATGGTGGCCCAATACAAGGCCGATGTGGAGGCAGCTGAGGTTTGCCTAAAGGCAAAGGCTGAATATATGAAGCGGTTATCCCGAAGAGAGACTTCGAAGAGATTCACGTCCGATGTTTTGACCTGTTGGCTGAGATCGAGGAAGGCAAAAATTCTGAGGACAAGGCAAAGAAGCTTTACGAGCCCGAAAGTGCCGAAGGTGCCGAAGGCTCTGAGGGTTCTGAGGGTTCCAAGGGCTTCGGAGACTCTGACGGCTTTGAGTCGGCCCCGGGTGAAGACTAGGCGTAGATTCCTTAGTGCTTTTTTAGTTTTTGCCCTATGTACAATTATTTTCGTTTATTTTGAGGTCGTTTTTATTAGGACTTTGTAAATATACTCTCTCTCTCTCTCTCTCTCTCTATATATATATATATATATATATATATATATATGAAATTTTTCCTCTCCGGCAATATCGTACTTGTACCTTTCCAGCATCTTTTCATACTTTCTGTTCATGTAACGTTTCTAATGCCTTAGCATAAAATCGACTGTAGTTAGAGGTCCGAACAAGGCCCGATCTCGATACAACTTTGTTTGTTCGAGGCTGTGAAAATTCGGTGTGACCGGAGATTTCTTTCAATATGCTTAAGCGACTTTTAGACGATATTGTCGAGGGTAACCTCTTAGCATGTTTCGAGTTCTTATAAAGGCCTTAAGCTTCGGACATCTCCGAGCCATTTTTTGGGTGGTCGTAGCCTTTCGTATTTGGGCACCATCTCATAGGTTTGGTTCCTCCGGGATTTGATAGCCCGGGTTGTTCGAATCTTCTTCGGACAACAGTCCCCGAATAGGGGTAGCCCTTGGGCTTGATAGCCCCCGAGTAAGGGTAGCCCGTGGGCTCTTAGGATCATAAATTTAACAGGCAAGGAAATGTGTAAATAGCAAGGCAAAACTTTCTTTTATTTCTCAGTGTGTAAAGTACATGATCGGAAGCGCATAAAAACTTGTGTCATGGCTTGAGTGGACTATGTGAGCACGATTCATATGACCGTTTGGCCCTTATAGTGAATCCTAACCACCAAGCCATAGCTTCTAGTATACAAAGTTGTTCTTCTTTCCTTGCTAAAATCCCTTGATCCTTAGTCCGAGGGTAATGTCCCCCAGTATTCGAGGTCGAGCTTGAGAGGGCTACTGTTTACATGAAGCGAACGATCTTTGACTCCGGCCTGAAACGGGCCTTAGAATCTAAGTTGGCACGTTTTACTATTGCCTCATTAAAAACCTTACCAAAAAACCCATTTTGGGACAAAACCGGTTCAAGGAAAAAAAGTGCAACGCATGCTTTCAGACCTAATAGCCACATCCATCCTTGGCCGTTTCCTGCAAGTATTAGTCTGATTCATAACATGATTAAAGAGTATTTAAGGTCATACCTTAGCAGTAGTACCGCTTTAAGTGCATCACGTTCCAGTTATTCGGTAGTTGCACACTGTTTCCCGCTTTGAGTTTGTATGAGCCTTTACCGGTAATTCTGATGACTCGATACGGTCCTTCCCAATTCGGTCCCAACTTTCCCTCGTTCGGGTACCGGGTGTGTAATATTACTTTCCTCAAAACCAAGTCCCCGATATTGAAATGTCGGAGATTGGCTCTTCGGTTGTAGTATCTCTCTATCAGCTATTTCTGGGCTGCCAACCGGACAAAAGCTTCCTCACGCCTTTCATCCAATTGTTTCGGGCTCGTAATCATGGCCTTGCCATTTGACTCTTCGATTGCATATTGGAACCTGAGGCTCGGTTCTCCCACCTTGACTAGTATCAAGGCTTCGGCCACGTAGACCAACGAAAATGGAGTGGCCCCAATACTAGACTTCAAGGTTGTACGATATGCCCACAAGACTTCGGGCAAGATTTCCTTCTATTTCCCTTTGTCATCGGTCAACCTCTTTTTTAGGTTTTGAAGTATGGTCTTGTTTGTTGATTCTGCATGTTCGTTCCCACTAGGGTGGTAAGGTGTTAATAATATCTTCTTAATCTTGTGATCTTCAAAAAATTTATTTACCTTGTTGCCGAGGAATTGTTTTCCATTATCACACATGACTTCGGCCGGTATCCCAAATCGACATATTATATGGTCCCACATGAAGTAAATGACTTCTTTTTCCTGGACCTTTTCGAATGCTTGAGCCTCGACCTATTTGGAAACATAATCAGCCATAAATAGTTTGAATTGAACTTTACCGAGTGCCCATGGTAGGGGACCGACGATGTCCATTCCCCATTTCATAAACGGCCACGGGGACAGGACCAATTGGAATATCTCTCCAGGTTGATGGATCATCGGTGCGTGCCTCTGTCAATCATCGCACTTTCGTACGAAGTCCTTTGCATCTTTCTCCATTTCGGTACAATAATAGTCGGCCCTGATTAATTTCCAAACCAAAGATCCTGCCCCCAAATGGTTCCTGCAAGTGCCTTCGTGAACTTCTCTCAAACCGTACTCGGTATCTCCCGACCCCAAGCATATGGCTAACGGGTCGTCGAACGTTCTCCTGAACAGTGTTCCTTCGACCAAGCTAAATATGGTAGCCTTGGTACGCAGGGCTCTCGATTCTTTGGGATTCGAGGGCAATTTCCCAGTTTTCAAGTAGTCTATGTACTTGTTCCTCCAATCCTAGGTTAAACTCGTTAAGTTTACTCGGCATGGCTTTCTTCTATCACCATCTTCATGAGCTATACGACTGTTCTCGAACTGAATTTGTCATCATTAACTGATGACCCTAAGTTAGCAGAGCATCAGCCTCGTTATTTTGATCTCAGGGCACGTGTTGTAGGGTCCATTCCTTGAATTGATGCAGCATTGCCTATAACTAGTCTAAATACCTTCGCATTCATTCCTCTTTCACTTAGAACGTCACATTTACTTGATTTACCACGAGGACGGGATCGCACTTAGCTTCGACCACCTCGGCCCCAAGGCTTTTAGCCAATTCGAGACCTACAAGCATGGCCTCATACTCAGCCTCATTGTTAGTCAATTTCACAGTTCTAATATACTGCCTAACTATATTTCCCGTAGGCGGTTTCAGCACGATGCCGAGCCCGGACCCCTTTGCGTTCGAGGCACCGTCCGTAAAGAGGGTCCAAATTCCCGTGGCAGTCCCTTAGGCTAGCAATAATTCTCTTTCGACTTCGGTTACTAATGTCGGCGTAAAGTCAGCCACGAAGTCGGCCAAAATTTGAGATTTTATGGAGGTTCGGGGCCGATACTTGATATCGTACCAGCTGATTTTGACGGTCCATTTGGCCAACCGGCCAGAGAGCTCGGGTTTGTGCATGATGTTCCTCAGTGGGTAAGAGGTTACGACACAGATGGGGTGACATTGAAAGTACGGTTTTAACTTACTAGAGGCGCTTAGCAAAGCGAGCGCCAATTTTTCCAGTGAGGATACCTCATTTCAGCCTTGCCTAGAGTTCTACTGACATAGTAAATAGGGAATTGCATACCTTCCTCTTCCCGGACTAAGACTCCACGTACCGCCACCTCGGAAACCACCATGTAAAGGTACAGCTATTCATCCTCCTTCAGAGTGTGGAGCAGGGGGGACTCGAAAGGTACCGTTTGAGTTCCTCCAAAGCTTGTTTTCATTCTGGGGTCCAGGAAATGTTATTCTTCTTTTTCAACAATGAGAAGGACCGATGGCTTTTGTCCGAGGATATCTATATGAACCGGCCCAAGGAGGCTATACACCTAGTCATCCCCTAAACGGCCTTGACGTTGTCCACCACCGTGATGTCTTCTATGGCTTTAATTTTATCGGGGTTGATCTCGATCGCTCGATTGGATACCATGAACCTGAGAAATTTTCCGGATCCAACCCCAAATGTGCACTTTTCTGAGTTCATCTTCATAGTATATCTCTTCAATATATCGAAGGTTTCCTGCAAATGTTTCAAATGGTCCTCTGCTCGTAGGGACTTAACTAACATGTCGTCAATGTAAACTTCCATTGATTTTTCTATATGTTCTTCGAACATTCGGTTTACTAGGCGTTGATAGGTAGCACCGGCATTCTTTAATCCGAACGACATTACGTTATAACAATAAGTGCCGAATTAGTGATAAAGAAAGTCTTTTCTTGATCGACCGGGTCCATCTGAATTTAGTTGTACCCGAAATAGGCATCAAGAAAACTGAGTATCTTGTGCCCGGCCGTCGCGTCGATAATCCGATCAATGTTAGGCAAAGGAAAAGAATCCTTAGGGCATGCCTTGTTCAGATCTTTATAATTCACACACATTCTTAGCTTATTTCCTTTCTTAGGTACTACCACTACGTTGGTTAACCAGTCCGGGTACTTAACTTTCCGAATGGATCCTATTTTAAGGAGTTTAGATACCTCATCCTTGATGAATGTGTACTTGACCTCGGACTGCGGTCTTCTTTTCTACTTAACCAGGTAGAACTTTGGATCCAAACTCAACATATGAGTGGTTACCTCCGGCAGGATCCTTGTTATGTCAAGATGGGACCAAGCGAAACAATCTATGATAGCTATAAGAAATTCAATGAGTTTTTTCCTAAGCTCGGGAGTTAACCCCGTGCCCGGGTATACCTTCTGATCGGGTAAGTGTTCGATCAATATGACTTGCTCCAGCTCATTGACTGTTGATTTGGTGGCATCGAAATCATCGGGAGCAATGAACAACCTAGGAACTCCGTAATCATCCTTCTCGCCTGCTCCTCGCTCTTCTGGTTCGGTCGGGGTCGGTATCGGTGATTTCTATTTAATTTCTTCCTTCCTAGTTGGCTCTGTATTCTTTGATGTCGAGACCACGGGCACTGGGATCACCTCATCGACTGGGAACATTTCCTTTGCAGTCGGCTGCTCTTCGTAGACTGTCTTGATTCCTCCGGGCGTAGGGAACTTCAGTACCTGGTGTAATGTTGAGGGTACTGCCCTTATGTTGTGAACCCATGGCCTTCCGAATAAGACGTTATACCTCATGTCCCCTTCGATTACGTAGAATTTTGTATCTTGAATCGTCCAGACGGTATTCACTGGCAGGGGTATTATGCCTTTAGTAGTTTCGCATGCCATGTTAAATTCGTTCAACACTCGGACCGCCGGCACTATTTGATCCTGTAACCCCAACTTCTCTTCAACCCTCGATCTGGTGATGTTGGTCGAGCTGCCTGGATCAATCAATACACGTTTAACTCAAGATTTGTTGATAAGTACGAATATCAGTAGTGCATCATTATGAGGTTGTACGATGCCCTCGGCATCCTCGTCCCTG